CGCTCCTGAGCCTGGCCAGCACCTTTCCCTCTGGCCTGTGACAGCTAAGAGCGGGTGATTAAGGCCTGGGAACGGGGAACTGGCGAGGCTCTCCTTAAAATTCGTCGATAAAGAGATTAGATTCCCAGTCTCCATTCTCATCTTGCAGTAGGGCATGCTTGGTCAGCCTGGGATGGAGAGTCCCTTCAAAGACTAGCAGCCCTGTGCCCACCTTCCTTTGACATTTTGCAGATGCCCAGGTGGCTGATGACAAGTTACATGCTGTGTTGCCTTCCAGCTTGCCTCCATTTTCCTTTCCATGGGGCCACAATGCGTTGAGACCCTGTGAACTAACCCAAGCTATGCAATCCTACACAACGCTTATGCAAATATTGATTATTCTGAGGAATATGGTAACCCATTTGTATGTAAGGATCTTTCTTAGGGCTTTGTCTCCTTCCCATACCTCTTACTCCGACCCATCTGACTTTTGAACCTGAAGGTATCTCAGCTGTTGCATTCATTGATCAGGGATCAAGAAATAAGTACTATCACTATCACAGAGATCGTGGCAATACGTTGCTCCGACCCATCTAGTTTTACAGAAAAAAAAGTTTTTAGCAGCCCAGAACTAGAAGATTATATTCAACACAAATAGGTAGAGTCAACTTGTATGTGTATATAGTTTAGCTAACTCTTGCCTTACTGAAGATTTAGTTATAACATTGTAACACTTCTGGGGCAAGAACTTGTCAGGAACTTTGAAGGGAATATACATGCCCTAGGGTGGATTTATAAAGTAGATTAAGAGGCCACATTTCTGAGAATTCAGTGGAGTGTGTTGTATCCTTATAGAGGGCCCTTCGAATCAAAGCAGGACTTTTGAGTTTTGTTATGTTAGTAACTTTCCAGAGACAAGTCATCTAAGTCTTGGAACCTTAGAGTTCAGTTAAAGTGGAGAGATAGACAATAAGGAATAGGCACATAAAATTGTTTCACATCGGGGTGAGTGCAGTGAAATGAAGGTAAAAGGATGGTGAGGGAACAGTGGAAATTGTTTTAAATAGTCTGTCAGGGAAGACCGTTCAGAGGAGGGGGCAGTTGAGTTGTTCTGAGGTGGGGTAGGAGCCCAGCAGGAGCCTAGCTAGTGGCTTTCAAGTTCCTTGGGAGGCCGAGTCAGGAGAATCACAAGTTCAAGGAATACCTTGGCTGCAGATGGAGTCTAGGGTCAGCCTGGGTAGAAATAGGACTGAGGAATATGTAGCTTAGTGGTAGAGCTCTGGCCCTGGGTTCAGTTTCCACTTGGGATTGAAATAGAAATTTCCACAGGTTCAATTTCCACCTGGCCTGAAAAATTTACTGTATGCAAGGCATAGTTCTAAACACCGGATGCTATTCGATAACCTTTTAAGCTAAGAAAACTACCTCCACTTTTATAGATGAGGAAACTGGCACACATTAGATGTGTACTCAAGCTTTAAGAGACTCAAAGTCTTGCATACTTTACTAAATTTGCATTAGTTTTATTTGGCACTGCTATAATTTTTGCCATTTGAATTTAGGTCATTTGATTTAAGAGGCTGTGTTCCAAATGACTATTCTGGCTCAGAGCATAATAAGGAGGGAGAAAGAAGTGTTGACATGTAACCTTGAGACATCTGATAGACTCTGGTGGGGTCTTGGAGCCTGTGTCAAAGTAGACATGTTACCCCTAAGTGTATTGGAAAAACCACAAGACAGTACCATTGTGGGACTAGTATCTGTTTTCTACTTTACTTCACTGAGAATTAACTGTAGAGTCACGGAGTGGTGTAGGGGCCATGAAAAACAAGGAGGTAGGAGGCTGATGCTGTGCTGTACCTTGAGAGGGGAGATGGTGTGATACCTTGGACTAGTAGAGGCAGTTGTGGAGGTGACATTAAGAGATAGAACTCTGCTGGCAAGACTTACATGGGGGTGCTAGGAGAAAGGGAGAAGTAATAACTTTTTAGGGTTAGGGTGGAAGAACTAGGAGAATGGTGGTGCTATTTCCTGAAATGACAGGTTTGGGAGGAAAAATAAAAGTCCAGTTTTACTTTCAAGTTTTAGATGCTTGTTAAATATAGTAATAATGAGTGCTGGTAACAATAGTAATAATTAGCATAATGCATATATGAACCATATTCCAGGCAAGGTTTTAAGTAATTTTACATATATTCATTTAACCATTAAAACAGTTGCATTGCTAAGAACTTACTGTTCCCATTTTGAAGATGAGAAAATTGAGGTACAGAGAACAGCTTTAGGTTATCTAGCAGGGCAAGGCCTCTGACTGATTATCTCAAGTCCCTACCCATTGCCATGGGTTTGTCAGTGTTAGAGGTGGAACTCACACCCAAAGTACTCTGGCTTTGGAGTCCACACAGGTTAATCTCTGTAACTATCTCATGTGGGCATGTTGATTGACTATGAAATGACTATGGTGAGGATTGGAAATACACCTAGTTTTGAAAAGACCAACTGCTTTTGTTCTTTTCTAATCCTTGGTTGACAATAAGAGGCAAGAGAAGGAAGCATACATGGTAGGTTTGTGCTAGCTGGTTCTTCCTTTTTTGATTGGATGTCTGCAACTAACATCCATTCTTCTGTCTCCCATCTCCATTGTGTGGGTTCAGTGTGAATGGGATTTCTGTCTCTTTTACATCTCTGTCTCTATTCCATTGCCTGTCATTCATAGCTCGTAAGGGTGACTTTATATGAGGATATTGGTTAGGTTTGGAGAATTTGGAGATAAATAAATATGGTTCTCCTTCTGGAGGTGCATAGCATGAGGAAAAACCTGTGGGAATAGATTTAGAGTAGAGTGAATACATAAATACATGCTGATTAGTTCATTCTGGCTTCCCACACCCTTTCCCCCCTGCCCCACACTTGAGAGATGGGGTGTGCAAAGGGCAAAAGAGCAAAAGAGGGCCTACACAATTGCCTGATGGATTGGAAGCTCCCCAAGAGTCCTTTTCAACAAAAGAACTACTCAAGTCTTGCATATTTTACTAAATTTGCATTAGTTTTATTTGGCATTGATAAAATTTTTATGAAATGAAAACTTCTGATATTTGAGTATCTCTGTGGAGTGATGACTTTCTCCAGTTCTATTATCTCAGTGTTGACAGGGCTCACTAGTGAAATAAGGGAACTGTCTTGAAATGTTGCTGCTTGCATAACAGGGCAATGGAGGGGCCATGTGTGAAATACTTAGGCAGGTTTCCACTGTTTGTAAGTGTATCCTGCCAAAGTTCCACATGTTAGTATTTCTCTGTTAATCAGCTCCTTAAAATTGATATGCATGCACATTTGGCCTCATTGTTTTGGACCTGTGGTAGCACTTGTGGGGAGGAACTTACAGTAGAAGAGGTCTGAGTAAGCCCCACCTCCTAAAAGTTCCAGCCTGGTAGACTGGCCACGAAAACTTGTGCATATGAACCTTCAGAAGATATTTAAGCTCCAAATTCATTCATTCATTCATTCATTCATTCATTCATTCATTCATTTCTCTCTCCTTTCTTGTTTCAGTTAATGCTTTAGCAATGCAGGTTTTTAAAGAAATTACTTATTTTACGTATATGAGTGTTTTATCTGCGTGTTATATGCACACAGTGTCCATGGAAGCTAGAAGAGGGCATTGAATACCCCTGGAACTGGAGTTGCAGATGATTATGAGTACTATGTAGGTGCTGGGAACCAAACCCAGGTCCTCTGTAAGAGAGCAGCTCTGCTTTTAACAGCTGAGCATCTCTTCAGCCCCAGATTTCTTTCTTGTTTTATATATACTGAATTAGCTACCTCAGTTACATTTTTGTTAATTTTTCAAAACTCTTTTCTGTATGAGTTTTCATATGTGATTTTTGTCAGTATCTGTAAGATGTACTGGGCATATGTTATCTTCATAATTTGACATATAAGAAAATAGTGCAGGTTAAATGATTTGTCCTATGTACTAGAACTCCAAGTACACTAGAAAGTGTACTTGGAGTTAACTCTTAATACCTCGGACTCCCTTAAAGTTACCTATTGCTGTTACCCTGTTCATCTTCCTAAGAGTCCTGTGAAATGAAGCTATTATTTCTGTCTTATAGAGGAGGAACTGATTTAAAATATTAAGTCATCTAGCTAGGTTCCCCAACTCTAATGTGTGTTTTTGACTCTTTCTACTGAATTATACGCCTTTCCAGCTATTTCCAGGACATGATTTACAACTTTTGGTTGAATTCACCAAATCTATACTTTGACTACAATGGTCTCTTGGCACATAGACTTACATTGATGTTGCCACTCCAGTCACTTGGTAAAGTCAGTGTTTGTGATCCTGCCCAGATTTGACTTGAGTAGGGATTTCCCGAGTTTTATTAACTATACGGTAACAAGATGTGCTATTTAGAATTTCATTCTTGAGAAAACTTAACTCCAGAAGCAGTCTATAAATACAATTCTGAGCTGTATTTGCCTGTAGCTAGGTGAGGAAGTCTGTGTGGGAGCAGTCACTTTGCTAGTCTGATTCATGTTTGGGACAGGACTCCCATTGGTGCCTCCTTTGAATCCGAGTGTCTAGTATTCTTGGTAGTGTGGACTCACATTCAAAAAAGAGAAAGATTAGTAATCTTTCCTGTCAGATTTGAGGGTATTTCTATGCTGAGTATCTAATCCGCAGACACACTTGACAACAGACAGAGTGATGGATGGTATGGAAATTATTGTGTTTTCCTTCTGAGGCAGACTTACCTAGTTGAATGAGGATTTCACTTTTGTGCGGTCCTAGGAGCTGGTGATTATCTCCTAAATCATAAACAAGAGTTTACCAGTATAAGACTTTTGACTTTTACATTTTAACACTTTTTTTGGGTGGGGCAGTTGAGACAAGGTATCTCTTTGTAAAAGCTGTGGTTGTACTGGAACTTGCTTTGTAGGCCAGGCTGGTCTTGAACTCACAAAGATCTACCTACATCTGCCTCCCGAGTACAGGTATTAAAGATTTTTACATTTTATAAAAACCAAGCTATTTTTATCTATTTTCATTAGATAAAAAGGTATCTACCTAA